GTAGCTGCTGTTCTTTATGATGTGATATGCCCTGCATACATAAAAAATCAGAGCGAGTGCAGAAGCAGCTGGTGCGTGCTGTAAAATTACAGGCAGAGCAAAGGAGTTGGAATCTCCAATGAAGCAGCACCAAATGTCTGCACATCTTACTGAAACTCAGATTTTCCTCACAAGGAAGCAGAGCTTAGGCCACAGCCTGGGCTGTTCAGCCCAAACTGCTTTTCGTCCCTGAGTGGTGCATGAAGCTGTCGGCCCTCTTCAGCCATTTGGGCTGAGCGTGCCAGGCTTAAAGACGGCCACGTTACAGGAGAACTCACACAAGAAACCCATATGAGTGTTCCTACTGAATCCCTATCGTGTGGCACAAGCAACGGCTGTGTTGGGCGCGCTGAGTGACCGCTCGCTGCCTAAGTGGAGCTGGGCGATCCACACTTTCCCCAGCTGGTAACCTAGAGACAACAGAGGGAGCTGGAGCTAATGCGGGAGGTCAGGGAGATGCCAGGCTTGGTTATTCCTGTTGCTCACAGAGTAGTGTCTTTTAATGTTCCTCATCCCACCTTCGTCCCAAGTAAAATATACGCAAAACACCTTTAGCTCTTCAGTATGGGTAGCACAGATCTCAGTAGTGCTATTCTGTAACTAACATCCTGTTCAATTTGTTTCAGAAATTCTGTTGTATATCTAATCCTGTGCCCCCTGAAGTCACAGTAGCCCATTGGCATAATTATTTGTATTGCTTGCAAGGGGGTTAGTAATACTGCCAAGTTAAGGTGGATGATGGGGCATTTCATACACATTCTTTGCTTGTGTGTTTAAGATGCAAGCCAGCAAAGAAGCAAGGCCTGCATCTTCTCTGTTTCATGCCATTAAGAACTTGTTTTCTGGGAAAGAATAATGCTGAGAAGAGTTGCTGGACATCAGCAACAAACTCTCTGTGGAGTCTGAGGAGCCACGTCTCATCCCATTTGGACTAAATGAGAACAGCAATTGGGCTCCTTTTGCTGAAGAAGCCTCTGCACATGCCACCAGAGTGCACAGAGAAGCCTTTCTGAACGACCCTGGGCAAAGGGCAATGGAGCATCAGCTGGTATCTGAACTTCGAAAGCAGGAGACTCAGAGGAGGGTCTGGCAGCTTAGCCTTCAGAGGGAAAGAAATCAAGACTCTTGGCATGCAGAATGCTCTGCGAATCTGGGTTGGATTTCTAAACAAAGAGCCAGGCTTCTTTTTGCTACCATTGTGCTCAGGAAACAAAACAGTCTGTATGAGCCTTGTGAACAGAAATACCTGGCTCATGACTCAATGTTAACCTGCAAGGTAGAATTGCAGTTTTGATGCGATATAGACTGTGATCTGGGAGGCTTTGTTGCTGTTAAGTCAGGACTGTTCCTGGTGTGGAGTGTGTGCTCCTGGTTCCTCCACCACTGATGTTCTAAGACCTAGGACGTAAGGAGGGACTTTGCTTTAATTTATCTGCTAATCTTAGTGCCTACTCCGGTCTTTGTTTCCATTTAATCCGGAGCATTGTTTCCCTTTGAAAATATTTCCCTGTGATTTAGCTTTTTAAATAAATTCCTCAGGAATTAAAAAATGCATTGAAGACAGGCAAAGCTAATACAGTAGAAGTGGGACTGTTATATTTTCATAACCCCTTCAAGCCCTTTCTTTCAATTGGGATGGTCTATTTGCCTTCACGAGATACTGTACTACGTTTTCCCATAGCATTCATAGATATCAGTCCCCCTGTGGAAAAGAAGAAAGACTGATCAAAACAATCTGAATCTGCTCCTAACCACGAGGCAAAGTGCCACAGAAAGGCATATTTTTATTGATTTTTAATCTTGAAAGAATTATGACATTTATTTGTTTGTTTATTACCCTCGGTGGGATGGAAAGGGATTGACAATCGCTGACGCAAATGAGGGGAAAATACATACTGAAAACAGGCAGTTTGGGCGCTGCTACCAGGCTCACAACGTGGCAGCAATGTTTGGAAAGTGAACCTGAGAAGCTGAGCAGCCACACCAGTTGTTAGCTCTTCCCAAGCTCTGATGTTGCAACAGCTCTGCTGCTGTCAGTGGTTCAAGCAGTTCAGGTATGTCTATTTATCAGACGGCAATCACACCCTTGGATGATAGCACAGACATGCCTACAGATGAGAGCAGCTCTGGTATCAGGAGCAAAATAGTTTTGGGACCCAGCAACAAGAGGATTCATTGTCTGATATATCCCTGATGGTACCGCAAGTGCTTCGGCAAGCATGCAGGGACCTGACATGGAGCAACAGCAAGGGCTGGAGCTTGGTGGAGCAGCATAAAGAAACAAGGACTGTGTTTTTCATCTCTCCCATTCTGCCTTTTAATTCCAGTGAAAACTATATTATTCATAAAAACACAGTGTCTCAAATCCAAACAGGTCTGTAATTTTCTCCCCATAAAGTACCTAGCTAATTAACCGAGAGTACAATTAGTATTGAGTCAACATCTTTGTAAGCCGAGCCGGACAGTGGTACCTGGTCTACTGGCTAGCAATAAATGCTGTTCCTTTTACCTGCATAGCATGCAATGCTTGATGCAGTAAAGTTAGTGTGTCCTGAACATCATCAGCCTCTGTGCTCTGTTACTGACTAAACATGTGATCTGTCAGTTATGCTCTTAGAGACCACAGGTGTGTAGGTTATAGCTATACTGGGAACCTGAGGAGCATTTCTGAGCAGTCAGGTCTGAGCGACAGCCTTGGCTGCTTTCCAGCTCCGTGTAGGAGAGAGCCCTCGGGTTGCACTGCTTCCTCACGACAGGAATGCACGCAGGTGTATGGCCCACATGGGACCTGCAGGATGTTTCAAACAAGTGCGTGATTTCAGTTACCGGGGGGCTAGGACCTAAGCTGTGTCTCACCACACCCTAAGTGAGCAGTGTAGACACAGCCAAAGCCGAATTACCACAGGTCAGCAGCCAAGCCGCAGTCACAGACATGGGATGTTAGCATGAACTTCAGCGGAAGAAGTTTTTATGAAGTTTCTTTCATTTGCGTGGGGCTAAGAGCCACTCAGACAATTAGTTTTTGCAGCTCAGCTTATATGGGAGACCTCATGTAACCTGCTTAAGCTTGGAAATAACAAAAGCCAAAGAGTTTAGATAAAAGTTTGGAAGACTGCGGTGAGCATGTAAGATTCTGAATGATTCCAGGTCTCGCTTTCCTTGTGCAATGCGGTCCTTGGTTACGCCACGCTTCTGTTGAGATGCATCCATCAAGGTAGTCTAGCGAACTAACTGAAGATAGTAAAGGAGATACTAGATGGCAAGGGGAGGGATGTGGTCTGGCCTGGCTCTGGTGGCACAGTAACTTCTAGAAGCTATCACAGATGGTTAGCGCTTAGATAAGAATTAAGGCTGCATATGAAAAGGTGAATCATGCCATATACCTTCCTGTCATAAAGACTTAGACCAGCTTTTCACCAGCATGGCCAAGCCTTTCTCATATCATGTCTTGATTAGGACTGAGAAGTGGTTCCTGTAAATGTCCCCTGAAACATGGTAAAGGTGTTGATGATAACATTCAGTGGCTGTTGCCATAGACTTAAAATAATTCATTTTGCTCTTCAAACAGGGTTAAATAGTTTCCACAGTTGTAAGACTGTGCCCAAAGCCCACAGCAGCTTTCAGCAACAACTTCTTCCCCAAAGCAGGGCCTGAATTGGCTCTAAATTAGCACGTGTGTAAAACAAGAACGGTTAGGCTGACTATCCTTGTGATTAACGTGCTAGAGTATATGGAAATTGGCTTGCCCATGCTCAGATTGTTTGAAGAGAAATATTTGACATAAGAGAGTCCTCCAGAACAAGAAAGTCTGCGTGCCAGCGATGAGAGACAGCGTGAATCATCGCTGTTCGCAACACGCCACGGGGCAGGCCAGCACGCTCCTACCGCTCTGCTGTTTCTATGCCACGTTGCTTGCTGAAGACCTCCAAATAATTCCTCGTTTGTTAAAATGGAACTATGGCGCTAATTTAAGGCAAGGTTTTTTCACTGCCTGTCACTGCAAGAGCTCCCAAGGACTCAATTTAAATGGGGGTGGGAGGATGAGCAGCGCAGCAGCTATTTCGGAACCAGTGGTTAATGATGGATTTCTTCCCGCAGTCAAATACCACGCTACAAGTTTTTGAAGTAATGCTAATATACAAAAAAGAAAAGGCTATGAGTACACTACATGGCAGATGCACACGAGGTTGATCCTAGTTGGTTTGATATCAAAAAAAGTTTCACACAATGTTTTGCAAAAAGAAAGTTATGTTAGAAAATAGAAAAAAGAACTCAATATGAAAGGACTACGTTTTCCCAAGTGCTATTGATTCGTCAAAAAAATATGTACAAAATGTATTCAATTCTTCATTAATCCTGCATGGAAAAAAAAATAGGTATGCTTGTGTGTGGATTTCATATATTCAAGCATATGTTTGCTAAGGTTAATAAATTATTAATTTATAATTATTAAAGCATGAGCACCAATATGAAAGCATGAGCATCTTTAAACTGAATCAGAATTTTTTTTTTACAATATACCTAATATGTCTGAAAATATCAATAGCCAAGAAAAGCTCTCAAAACATGTTAGTATTTGACTAAGGATCTCTTCAGAAACTTTAAGTTTCCCTGGAAGCTCCCATTTTACAGCTTCTATTTAAAAGTTTATACTCAGGTACAAGCTTGTGAATAATTTTAGAGGAGCAACACTAAGGAGAAAATAAGAAATTATAACAAACAAACTCCAACTAGCACGGCTATTATGAGCAATCATCCAAAAGATGTATATGTCATTAGAAACTGCAGAAGTACTTATGTAAACAGTCTTGAATGCTTCTCATGAAACAACAACAAAAATAACGCCAGCAAGCATTTCTAAATAAGCTTTTTTTTACAAGTTGGGGGTTAGGTTTTGGGTTTGGTTTTTTTCATTTTTAATAATCTTGACCTAGAAATAAAGCAAGGCAAAAGTCACTTACCTCTTACATGGACTAGAAGAAAGCCAAGGCACAAAAGAAGGATACTTCTGAATTTCCCCATGGCCTCCTATGCAGTGCCTTGATTGCACTGGTTTTTTTCCAAGCGATGATGCTAGATGTTGCGACTGCAGTGCCAAGGTTTGAGGGAGACGCTTGGAATCAGCGGCTCTGTCCAAAGAGTTCCCTCACCATCACACTCAAACGCCGAGGAAGTCCCTAAAAACCCCTTCTAGCACAAGACAAGTAACGAAAGCAGACGAGCCCTCTGTGGCCAAGCCGTGAGCAGCACCATAGGTGCCACCCACCCTCTAAGAAACCTATTTATCGCCCACGCAGGGAGCGTGGAGAGCCGGGGAACCAGCGGCAGCACCCAATGAGGAGGGAGCCAGCGTGCTCTAAATCCACCTCCTTCCCTGAGGGAAAGCCAACCTGTTTGACATCCTCACCTTCAAAGCAGGGTGTGGTGCTTTGGAAGCTCAAGCAGCTTGTGAGAGGAGACCGGCCTTCTCTGCAGCGTACTTGGGAAAACATCTCTCAGACGTACTCTGTCCTCAAAGCACTGCTTCCCTGCCCAGTTTCTGGCTGAGCAGTAACTGCTGATAAAGGCAATCCTGTCAGAGTCCTAACCGCTAGCTCAAGCCACCGAGTGAGGGAAGCGGAGGGCAAGAATCTGCTTTGCAGAGGCGTGGGAATTGTCTACAGAGGGATGCCAAAATGCCCTAATTTTATAAACTTAAAATGTGATGTCGGGCTACTGAACTGAAGCGTGCTCAGGTGGTGGATGCTTACCTTCACAGAGTAAACATTGCCTGTCATGATTTTTTCCATTGATCTAGAAATATTTTCAACTATAAACATTCACACATATCCTACATGGAGAGAGATCTCAGCTAGTGCCGAGCGCGAGAACACAAAGCTTTGGAAAATGAACAAAAATCATTCATCCATCCGTCCACTGGTGTGATTTAAATCCAGTCTTGTCATACCCTCTCTCTAGCAAAGACGTCTGCCAGCACACTTGGCTGTTCAACTGGACCACCACTGTCACGCTGGCGCCCGGCGCCGGCAAGGAGACCGGTGTGCATCCTCCCTTTTGCCGAGGGGCAAGCTGCAGGTGCTTTTGTCAGCGCTGTTTTGACTAGGTTGGCAAATACTCTGCTCCCACGAACGGCCGATCCGTACGCTCGTGGCGTTGCTGGGTGATCCCGTCTGACGCGGGGCTGAGGCTGGCCCCGAGTGCGTTTCTGTTGAGTTACCTAGAAGGTACGATACAACGCGTGCACTGAATGCATGCTTTTATGCTAACTACAAGAAAACTGATGCAACAACATAAACTGGACTGATAAAACACAGTGATATTGGTTCTTCAAGAAGCTTCATGTTCAGACAGGTCAGCTCCCTGCCCCCCCCTCCAAATTTGAACCAGTAGAATGGTTTCGAAAGGCCTGGCTTATTGTGTCACGCTGCTTAACTATTTTTAAGCTAGTAATAGAAGCTCTAAAGCTCAACTCATGTATGATCATTCTCCTTGTCAGGGCCAATTGCTGAATCTCAGAAGAGTTAAGGACATTTAAGAGACGACTTTGTCAGCCAATGAAAACAGGAATTATACCACGACACGAGCAATCCCATAAGTCCATTGTTTATTTTTTTCCAGAATAGCAAAAGCCGGCCCACACATGCTGATCTTTGTACCAGTGACAAATTTGCCTGAAGGGAACAGGAAAGTTAGCAAGGCTACATACTAGTCCCAGGCAAGTCGAAGCAGCTCACAAACATTCAGTAGCTCTACTTCAAAACAGTTGTTCTTGTAACAAGTGAAGTCTTTCCAAAATGCTTTCTTTTGTTTGTCTGCTGATGCTAGCTTGCTGCAATACTGAAGATTCTTAAAATATGTTTGAAGACGACGTGCCCCTTGTCTAGTTCCTCTGAAGCCAGCTACTGCTCTGTCTAGCAGATACAAATATAAACAATATGAAGAAGGCACAGGAAGGGCAAACTGAAGGAGTGGACCTAGCACTGGAGTTGGGATGTCTTGAATACTTATCCCACTTCTGTCCTTGGGGCATTGCAGGAAATTCTTAATCTCAGGTCTCTCTGATGACGATGTGCAAGTGATTGCCTGAGATATCAAGTAAACAATATTATATATTAAAAACAAATATAACACCTTACACCTGACCATGAATTGCGGTTTTATCACTTCGAGCAATCATTGACTCACCTTTTTTCTATTTCAAGGGAAAACAAAGTTCTGCCTGATACTCACCTGACAAGGTGGATGCTCTGCCTAATTTTTTTTACTTCTTCTTTCAAGAAAGAAACCATGTATTTAAGAAATAGCAAATGGGTGGAGAAATGGAGCCAGTGTGTCTGTCTATGCTCTACACCATATACTTTTAGCCCATCAGGCCTCTTTCAGGTGAGACAAGCTAGAAGAGAAGCGGAGGACAGTCACAACTCACCACAGTTGCAGCCCCATCCATCCTGTGGGCAGAAGTTAGACGTTGCGCTCTTTGGCATGGGTGACCTGCTGTGTGAGTCTATCGGAGATGAAGGAACCAAATTATACACTAGAACTACTGGGGAAAGCCACTAATATCCCACAGTATTCATCTTTTGTCATAAAAATTGAAGTATTTTAATTAAAATGTTGAAACATCTGGTAATATTAGATGTTAATTTAAATATAAGCCAAATGCGCAAGTGAACCAGTGATACAATTTCTTGGCAATGGAAGAATACAATTACTACAAGCCAGCTAAAACTTCCGTGGTTTTTCACAAGCAGATGGAAGAATGTACATTTTGGGGCATTTTATCCTTGTGATTCTTAAAATACTCCAAGTGCAGGGGTTTGGAAAAACTGTATTTTTGCTCAATTAAAGTCCTTTTCATATTCCTAATCATCTCTTCGCTTTCTTTCAAATGCGCCTTTTATATTTGAGTAATGGAAAAGAGCAAAAGGAAATAATCTTTGCAGTTTATGAAAAGGTTAAGGTTTGTTTCATAATCTTGTCAAGTGAAAAACCCACAAGGAATAGTACAGTATAGATAGTGGCCTAAAATAATTTGCGAGAAAAATACCAAAATTCACAATTGTAAATCAGCCCAAGGTACACTGAAAGCCGAGTGCTCTAGAAAGAGTTTTCCTTAGCATTCAAAATTCAGCACAGATACCGAAATGAGCACAAATAGGAGCTACAGTAAAAAGCTGCCAAATTTCATGCTTAAGAATCTCCTGCTTTTGTTTCCACAGCCTGATGAATTCGTTTGGAGAAGTTTAGGTAAGTGTTTGAAATGGACATCATGTTTAAAAACTGTCAAAACATTTTTCAAGCAGTCCTTTTCACTGATAGTTAGGATGAATTAATCTGCCACCTGAGCTCCCTTGCAGAAGCTGAAGTAAAATGATATTCTACAAGATCCTGCTTTATTTTCTTCCTCCTGTTACTGGAAGGTAACTCCTCCTCCTCAACGAAGGTAGGCTGGAGAAAAACCAGAACTGAAGAGGGTGTGCCACAAGAACAGGACAGAGCTCTTCCTTGCCATCCATTTAAACTCAGTCTAATGGTCACGGTACCTCACCAGGAGTGAACCTGAAGTTTGCACCTGGAAAGGACAGTAATTTTTCATCCCACTGCACAGTCTGATCGAAACCTGTATGGAAACTAGAATGTAAGTTCCCAAATTGGGATCTGGAAGTCACTGACGGTCCATAAGGCCATGATGGGCAGCAGCTGACCCGTGGGAAATGATCATAAAAATACTTCAGTAGGGTGATGAGTAATTGGTAACCGATCATCATCTTTCTTAACCCAACGAACGTGAGAACTAACGAATTCAGATATTTAGTTATGCAATGCAAGAGCAGCTGAGCTAGGAAGGCACAAGATCAAAGTCTCAACGGGTAGCAGGGCAAATAGCAACATAGCAATTAATACCCCGATAACTGAAAAATAAGCGAACTGCTACGCTTCATCCACAGGTAAGTAACAGAAACCCACAGATTGGCAGTTTCTTGCTCACTACAGAAGAACAGCCTGAAATTTCAAGCCTTCTCTTAAATCTTTTCTTTGTAGGTGGCAGCAGCCAGTGTTTCTGCCTTCTCAACACACACACGGTTGAGCTTGCCCATAGTAGGCCTGCTATTGCTGTGCGTATTTTCAGTAGATTCTGCGTAACCAAGTCCAGGTGTTCTTCTTCACAAGCCATGCCTGTTCTTCGCAGACATAGATGTCTTCTCCGCACTTCGCACTGGTAAGCACCCTGTGAAAGCAGCTCGCAGCTTTGTTGCTACTGGCCAACTTCCCGGGTGTGCCACAAGAACAGGACAGAGCTCTTCCTGTGAAAGCAGCTCGCAGCTTTGTTGCTGCTGGCCAACTTCCTCCTAAAATGGTTAAAATGTCTGTCAGAAATAAACCTGAATTGCTGATGGAGCAGGAAGACAAACTCCCTTTGAAGACTGCTTCTCTGGTAGAGCACCAAAATATCTGTATTTCTAAGGCTACTAAGAAGGAAAATACATAAACATTTTCTTTTTTTTTTTAATTTATTTTTAGAAAAATCACAATGTTGATAGAAGGTTTTCATAAGTAATTTTTAGGCTTGCAAGAGCTGAAGAAGGATTCAAGAGTCTGGTTAGCTAAAAGCTAGTTTGAGCTTCCCCTGACATTCCCCTAACAAACACTGGCTTTTTTTTTTTTT